CACACTTACGAGCCGTTCGTGTCCCCTGCCTGGTCCGGCGTACCTTCCAAGTCCTGAGAGTGCGCGAACAACGGATAGCGCCCGTCCGCACAACCATGTATACGGTTATCACTACCCAAACATGGCGCAAGGATTTCAAGAAGGCTGCTGACGAGCCAGTGCTAGAGTTAGTTGGGCCAGGTATACCTTGCTGAGGTTGGCTGAGGACGGTGAGCTGGAGGGTCCGTCAATCGCCCCGTCGATGGGGAGCATGTGCCAGTTGCGTGACGCTCTGTTGGAGTCTTACAAAACGCTTGAGCCCACTACAAGTCCCTCTAGTGGAAGGGAATCTGTCGACCTATGCTGAGATGAACAAGAGCAAGCTGACCGTGGCGTCTCCGACGAGTTCCGTGTGCTCTCGGTGCGAATCAGATCCGGTCGTGGGCCTCCCCCCGTGGAATAGTGTGACCTAGACCGCAACAGATGAAGACAACTGGCGTGGTATACCCTGGCGTGGTATACCCTGGCGTGGTATACCCTGGCGTGGTATACCCTGGCGTGAACTGGTGCCTGAGCACCTTCGACTTCCCCGCAGCGAATGGGTAGCAGGTGGCGGAGAGGAGGCGGGACAGTGGCCGACAGGGGATGATATGCGGTTCCTCTGGTCTCAGGAGATCGAACGCGCCAAGGGGCGCATCCAGACTGAAGCCAAGAAGCAAGGCGTGAAGTGCGACGAGTACCCGTGGGAGGCAACGTTTATGCCACGTGGCGAATGCATTTCCTATGAAGATGAAGGGCAAGGGACGGCATCTATGGCACCATGCCTGATCACCTTAAATCGTGGCATGTCGCCAATCTCGGCCACCTAATCGAGTCATACCGTTTCTCAGAAGAGGCCATCGACATGCTCGAGGCGGATGCCACCCAGCTAATCTCAAAGTCAGAAAGCTGCAGGTTTCATGTCAAGAGAGATTACTACATCGGCAGCTACGCACAAGCCTACGTTGTGCTCGAAGGCGCTGACAGTGCTGGAAGCTCCAGGCTGCACCTTGCTGCTGTCCCCTACTGCCTCATCGCGAAAGATTCGAAGGACGCCTCGGCTCGAGAGAATAAGAAGCAAGTGAGAACCGATGCAGGCTGAACCGTGTCTAAGTAAACTTGATCACGACTTGATCGCGGCTTGATTCACGGCCGACCCGCTCAGAGTTGAACCGAGTACCACAACTATCTCACCTTGAGCTCGGACCTGAGCAGGTTCGTGACCCACGCCCCCGGTGGCATGGTCAGCGACCACCTGCTGACTAGCCAGGAAGCGTGGGGGCTCCTTCCGTATGGACCCGCGCCACAACTATGTCGCCTCGCCGCAAGGGCTTTTTCGACGA